GGTCCCCTGTGTATTTGTACTTCAATGCCTGGCCCCAAAGTCTAAGATGATTTTCTGTATTTTCACTCCTTTATTTGAAAAATATCAAAACTAGCAAAGCACAGGACATTAGAGATTCCAATTTCACAGTAATTCTTCTGTTTCTTTCACCAGTGACTATGGAGAGAGAAGCATGCTGTATGTTGTCACTGCGTTTTCATGTGTTAAATCATAACACTCACCATGGCTCCTCTGTCTCACACGATCACAAAGGATTAGTGCTCATTTTTCCATGAACACAAAACCCATGAAATGGGAAGAAAGTGGTATGTTCTTGGAAAAGAATAATCAAGACAGGGTTGCTAGCCCCTTGGCAAGACTGGGTCTACTCGGTGCTAGTAGCTGGGGGTGACACTCAACAAAAATGAATAGTGAGGTCATATCCATAGGTCAGGTGTGTATTTGTGTGTATATGTGTATTTGTGTGTAATGTTTTTTCAACATAACTCCATTTACACTATGCTAGCCTATAGTAAAGACTCCAGTCAGAATATACATATACCTAAATTGCTCATTTAGAAAATACCATCACTGTGTGAGCAAGATTAATATTGCCTAATAGTGCTCGTCCTCATCTACATGAATGAGCACTTGGTTCCCAAGAAGTTGGTTTCCTTTTAGGTCAACAGAGGTTACTAAATGAATTCAGTTAAGGAGAAAGTGGGCAGGCTGCCTTAAGACATAAGTGGATGGTTAGTTTTACAGTGGTGCCCCCTAGTGCCAGGTGAAATTGAGTTAATTTCTGTACTGCCCATCTTTAGATCCCATGCAAGAAGGAAACTGTGGAGAAGCATTGCTGTTGGTAACCACTGCCTTTGTCATAGAATGAAGTAAATCAAGTTTCCCAGAATGGTTCACAAGATCTTTTGCCATCCATGCCTGCATAGATCTTCAGTTTTATCTCCTACCCTAGTTCTCTATGAACACTCAATTTCAGCCATGTTGAATGATTTGCTATTCTGCCTACCTATCCCCATCCCTCCTGTCCGTGGAGGAAATTCCACTCTTAACTCTCCAGCTGAAGTATGCTATCTTTTCCCTCAGACCCCCTGACTCTCCACGAATATGCTCAGACATCTTAGGCAACCCCTTCTCCCTCAGTTCCTTTTTCTACTGTCCCCTGAGCAACTCTCCACATATTTGTCATCTTTTTGCCTCACCTCAACTCTTGACCATTAATGCAAAGGTTTTAAAAAAAAACTTCTCCAATGCAGTCTTTATTCTGAAGCATCGAATAATATCCTATACAAAAAAGCATTCAGAACGAATGTAAGGTCGCTTTAACTGATAAGATCAAGTACAGAAGTCAAAGTTATCCAATTAATTAAGAAGGTAGGTGATCATGAGCAATTTACCTAAATTCTTTGAGTTTTTGTTTTCTCATCAAATACTATGGCTAATATCTACTCAGCAGTCTTGGGTCTCTGAACCCTTTCATTAACATCCACCATCAGAGCCTCAAAATCCTTCATGATGAGTTAATTCAACAGTCCAAATGCTCCTCTTTTTTTAATCTCAAAGACTTGCTCGGAGAAAGAAAATTCTACTCAAATTTGAAATTATTTTATGTATATGATTGAATAATTGCTAAGAAAAAAGACATGGTAGATTACATGTAGACATTTAAATTAAGTTAATCGGAAACCAAGATTCAAGGCAAATTCCTCTTTCCAGTATTAAACAACGACAACAACAAAAACATTGGAGTTTTATAATACAAAACATCACCAAGAAACTGAATTCTCACTCTGGCTCCCCTGGACATAGATCACTTCTGCTTCTCCTAACAGAAACAAGAGACAAGAAGAAGGTGGGATCTGCTAAGGAAAAAGTCCTTAACCATACAAGGTCATGGTCAAGGTGACGTGGAGTTTGTAAGACTTCAACAGCCCCGGGACACTGAAATATAACTTACAGTTGGGGAGATAGCTCGGATGATAAAGTATTTGCCTAGAAAATATGAGAACCTGACTTCATCTCCCAGGACCCTCGTTAAGATGCCAGACATAAGAGTGTGCACTTGGAATCCTGGTCCTGTGAAGGCAGAGACTGCAGGATCTCTGAATCTCAGTCACCAGTCCAGTCTAATCGATGCACCCCAGACCAATGAGTGATGTCATCTGAAAGCAAAGGTGAGGCATTGCTGAGGATGACGTTAGAGGTTGTCCTCTGGCCTGCACACACAATCGCACAAACACATGCGGCCATGTACACAAGAGCAAGTGCCTGCACATAAACAAATCCACACCCACAAACACCACATTAAAAATGCTAAAAATAAAGAGCTTCTCACCTCTTAGACCAGTTTTCCCTCTGCCTATTTCTTCCTAGTTAAAGTCCCAGGTAAGTCTAAAAGCCTGGCACTTTAAATGGTACCCCCAGGGTAATGTCCAATGTGCAACGAGCAGCAGCATTCCGTTTTTTATAATTCAAATCTGTGATATTCTAAAGTGTTTGTGTCTTTCCTCATTCTAAGAAAAGTATTTTGTGAACTACAGGGAGTATAAATTAAGTACACATGATAATATGACTTCTTCCAGGCCAGTCTTTAGAGCCAAGAAATCTGCACATTTAGGCACAAAAAAACTGCTAATGTACATTTTCTGTTCCTTCAGCCCCTCAGGCCTGTTCTTCGAGAGATGACACACTCATTAGCTGATGAGCAGAAAGAGACCACAATGTCCATCTCATACAACCATCCCATTACTGAGCAGAAAACCAAGTCCCAAAGGAAAACATGAACTGTAGAAGATGTGGGTGCGGGCTGTCTTTGGGCGGGAAGGGGAGGGGTGCTGCAAAAACAAAAGCTGTTTCTCGTGTAGGTCAATAAAATCTAACCCAGTCATTATTGTTGCTAAATAAACTTCAAGAGAAAGTAGAATTTAGAAGCTGTACCTTCGCAATCTTGAATGTAGGAAATTAAGGCTTAAAAAAAAAAGTAAAGCTAAGAAATAAAGGGAAAGGAAAGGAACAGGATTCTTTTCAAAATATCCTTTTCCTACAACAGAAAAACCTAGTTTTCTTGGGTATAGATCTTATAAGCATCACAGTTCACTTTCCCTGACACCTCAGTACATGTATCTCCCAGGACAGGCTTCATTGCACCAGCCTCACCACCTGGTCCACCCACAACCATAATGCCAAACGTTAATGTTTTAAAGGTTACTAGTCCCTTTGTCGAGGAGATTATCTTCCTCCTTCTCGTCTTATCAATACATTTTGACCAAGTTCCAGGGAAAAATACATACTACCTATCTATATATCCCTTTAACAAGTGAGATTAAATATACTGGTCCATTATACTGCCCAGGTCCGAGAACAGTATAAAACGTTGAGATAGACAAGTTCCCAAATCTTCTCTATCAAGAGCAACCAGTGTGCTTATTTCATGAGCAATCAGCTTCAATGTCCAATTCATATCTCCTGTTTTTTATTCCATTTGTGAGCCAAGACCACAGAAAACAAATTCCCCCCCTAGACTGATGCTTACCTCAAGGACCTACGTGGCTTTGGCTTTACTTCCCACCTCTGCCGCAGAGTTTCTGGATGACTTGAAGAAAGGACCCGAATTCTTATGGTGCCCAGGGTAAGACTGTCCAAGGAGGTCCCAGACACGAGTAGTCTACCCACTGTGTTTCACTTTTTGTTTTCTCCTGCCCCTGCCTGATGCCCTAGTGTGCCTTGTTACACTAGACTGGGGTCTTGCGTCCTCCTCATCCCACAGAATGAGGAAACACGCTGCCCTGTGGTTGTTTGAAAAGTCTCAAGACTGCCAGACCTATTCAAGGCACAGCTGGTCTATTTTTGGTTACCCTGTTTGCTTTCTTAGAAAAGCCTGATTCCGGTCTCGTCTTAGGCATCCCACCGTGAACAAATTACTCTACCCTAGCACCTTCTTCCCAAAGTGCCTACAACATTTTCATCCACAGTCCTACACAGAGAGCTATGTGGAGTGGAGAGAAGAGGATCAGAATGGTGCGGCTCTAATTGGCCATGCAGGCTTGAGCACCGCACCAGCTACGCTTGCGGGGCCCAAGGGACAAGCACGGTACACGGTTCAGCCGTCATGAAGACATACGTTTTCGCCAGCTTCTATTTATCAAAACCGCACTTCCTGTACACAGAAACAAGCCCAGACATTTGCCTGGACTGCTCGCATATCCTGGTTTAATTTGAGGTAGCTGTGTCTCTGATACGGCCATTAAAAAGAAGTTCTGTTCTGCCTGTCATCCCACCAGGGAATGATTTCCTGATATAAAGCAACCGCTGGGGAAACAAGAATTACGAGGCCTGATCCAACATGGAATTCTGGGGAAACTTGCAGAGTCACCTGCGGTGAACACGTAAAGAACATAAGTGCAAACAAAGCTATGAGACTAAGTCTTGATGTAAAGGTCTGAGCAAACAAACGCGCACACACATTGCTGCAGCCCTTCGGGTACAGACGAGATAGGTGATAGGAGTGGACTTCATCCTGAAACCTTCAGAATTTAAAAAAAAAAAAAAACAGATCCCCTTGAATAGATGCAGATTCACGACCGTGATGGGAATTAAAATGGGCCTGTTATTTGTCTTTCTTTTATATTGATTCCTCAATCAGACACATTGCTACCAGGATGGATAAAGAAATATCAGTAGCCCAAAGCTTCAGAGTTGACAGCTCATTAAGATACACCAGGAGTTTTGCCTTGCAAACAAAAAAAAAACAAAAACAAAGAATCCCTAGAAGCAGGGCCCCTCTGCTCTTCCCTCTACCCTAGCACTGCTACTGTTGAAATAGGAAGGAAAGGATACACTGAAGGATATTTGACCACACTTTACAATCACTTGGTAGCAGTGGCATTGGGGGTGGGGGGGACTGAACAGTTTTACCATTAGATTATTTACAGGTGAGTGCAGCTGTTGCAGCTGGCACTCAGCCAGAGTTGAAGGAAAAGCAGCTGCCCACTGGTGCATCTTACCGGAGATGAAGAGAGTTGCAGGCACACATAGATGAAGCACAGGAACACCCCCGCTCCCTTGATCCCAGAGACCACCAGCCTTAGCATCTTCTTCCACTTGAATCTTGGCCTTGATCCATTTTCCAGATTCTCATCCAGGGGTTGAACCCCTTCCCCTTCCATCTTCGAAGTCGAGGTGCAGAGAAGATAAAGCTGTGGCAAAGGGGAGCCTGGGGAAGACTGCTCTTCACCACAAAGAAGAAGATAAGGGCAAAGCCAAGCCTGTGGGTCAGAAGATAAAGGTCCCAGAACCAGAGACAAAAGGCAATTGAAGGAGCAGGGCAGCCTCTCTCAGTTTTAACTCTGCAGATTTTGCAGGCGGGGGAACTTCTATGTGACTAATCTGAATTTCCCCTTTACTTTCTTTCTTTTTTTTTTCCCTCTGGGCTAACAGGGAGTTGTTTTTGTGGCATCCCAGTTATGAATTGAGTGACTTCGAAATGACAGTCACAAACGTGTGCTCTGAAGTTTTTCATTGCACCGGTAAAGATAGATAAAGATCATTTTTTTTAAAGCAGCTTACCTACCAATCCCTCAAGATGTCTTAAACCATAGAAGAGATTTGAGGAACACGCTAGCCAGACATCTCTGCTTCTGTTGTGCAATCCATCTCCCGGCACAATTTACAGATTCAGAATAAAATGCATGCAGGTTATTCTTGAGATGAAAAGGACAAAGAGGGAAATGGAACGGTGGATTATGCATACAGATATAAAGGAGGGTCTTATATATAATGCATCACATTAAACCAAATAAACTAATATTTATTGAGCAACTGCTATGTGTCAGACACTGTGTTAAATGATCTTGCAACTGTCATACTTCTCATTTCAGGGAAATTCAGCAAACACATGATTAATTTTCTGAATATCAAAAAAGAAGCAGAAGAAAATTCTGTCGTTCCCCACCACAACCCCACGCCTTCACTCCACTATATATTTTCCCCACACATAATTTTTGCATGAGTAATTCAAGTAACCTTTGAGGGTTGTTACTCTCTTTGAAGTATTTGTTGGCTGGACTCAGAGCCTGCTAAGTAAACGTATCTTCCCAGAGTTGGAAAGATGACCCAGTGGTTAAGAGCGCTGGTTGCTGCTCCAGAAGACTGGGGTTAAATTCTCTCTCTCTCTCTCTCTCTCTCTCTCTCTCTCTCTCTCTCACTCTATATATATATGATGGCTCAAAATCATTGTAATCCTTAATTCTAGAAGACCAGGTGCCTTTTTTTTTCTAACCTTCCTAGGCACCAAGCATGCAAGTGGTGCATACATGCAGGCATAAAATTCATACATTAAAAACAAAAAAAAAACAACCTTTAAAAATATATTCTTCCAGTAGCCAGCTATTCACTGCATTGAATTTAAATTGCCACTTTAATGCACAGTGAAACTAAATAAATGTGAAATTTTAATGTCAGGTCCAAAATGGCAAAATGTGTATTGAATATGTACTATGAAGTCACTGCTATATAAGATAGCACAAGGATGCTGAACACATTCTCTCTCTACTTTATGGGAAAGTATGTCTCCTGGTTTATCATGGAGCCATCAGCAGATATTTAAAGAAAGAAGAGAGAGAAAAAAAGATTCTGAGTGCTAGAAATATAAGAAGGTATATGAAACTTATAAATTTGTCACAATTTAAAAATATCATGGTTGGCCGGGCAGTGGTGGCGCACACCTTTAATCCCAGCACTTGGGAGGCAGAGGCAGGCAGATTTCTGAGATCGAGGCCAGCCTGGTCTACAGAGTGAGTTCCAGGACAGCCAGGGCTATACAGAGAAACCCTGTCTCGAAAAACCAAAGGAAAAAAAATATATATCATGGATATGAGGCGTAAGGAAAATGAGTTGCAGGACAAGGAAGGTACTTTGCCACAGTAGTCAACTATTTAAATCAGTTGATGCCTATATTATAATAATGAGGCTTTGTATTTGGAGAACGTATTGGGAGCTAAGGCATGCATCTGAGACTAACAGTAGGACTCGGTTTCACATAAGCTACTCGGAAGCAATGATTTCCTCAGCAAAGAATGAGCAAGGCACAGGGTATGAAGACAAAAGGAAGATCAATCCGTGTGTTAACTCCCCACTTACATAATATGTAACAGCTGTAACCAGTCACTTTTACCAACCAGACCCCCCACAGAGCTCCCAGGGACTAAACCACCAACCAAAGAATGCACACGGAGGGATCCATGGCTCCAGCGGCATATGTAGCAGAGGATGGCCTTGTCTGCCATCAAGGGGAGGCCCTTGGTCCTGTGGAGGCTTGATGCCTCAGCTCAGGGGGATGCTAGAGTGGTGAGGCTGGAGTGGGTGAGTGGGTGGAGGAGCACCCTCATAGAGGCAAAGGGGAGGGGGGATGGGATGCAGGGTTGTGGAGAGGAAATCAGGAAGAAGGATATCATTTGAAATGTAAACAAATAAAATGATGAATAATAATTTTTAAAATACTGAAAGAGAAGATAGGGAAAACGCCCAAAACTCTAATAGAAATTAGAGACAAGCTGAAAACAAGAATAAAGCACATTCCTGTTGAAAATTACAGGGAACAGTGTGACTAGCTAGATGTGTGTGGTGGGTGTGGGTATGTGCAGCCGTCTGCATGTGTGTGCATGGAGTGCCTGGAGGTTCATATCAGGTGTCGTCTTCAGTCACTCTCCAACTTAGTTTGGAGGAAAGATCTCTCACTAAGCAGGAACTTGCAGTTTACTAAACCAGCAAGCAGGAGCCCTCAGGATCCTCCTGTTTCAGCTCACGAATTGCCAGGGCTGTAAGCATGCTTCGCTGAAACCAGTTTTTACAATGGACGGCTGTGGCTCAAACTCAGAACCTCACGTTTGCATGGCAAGTGTTTTACTGACTGAATCACTTCCCCCCAAGAGCAAAAAGGACAAAAAGCAACAAACACCTATGAGCACAAATCTGTGCAGCATGAGCTTTCCTTGTCTGATAAAAACCACTGTCTGACATCATTGGTATTTCAGTCCTGGGCAGATAGGCAGGGACCTCCATCTTGAAAGTGCTTTTTAATAAAACATGGTTGAGATGTTTGTAAAGAACTCGAATGAATTACTACCTCTGTGGGCAGTACATTCTAAAATACCTTACAAAAATAAATATGTCTGCCATAATAAACTAGCTTTGCATGGTAACCGAGAAAGTAAAACAAACCAAAATGGCTCCTTCTCATAGACATAACCTCCTACAAGAATAGCCAAAGCTATAGAGAAGTATGGAAACAAAACAAAAATACGTCAAAAGCTGTCAGAATATCTCATGTTCAGAGGGCAGCAAAACTTTTGGGGGCTTTTTCAGTTTGGGGGATTTTGTTGTTGTTTTGGGGGTTTTGGTATTTGGGGTTTTTTTATTTGTTTGTTTGTCCATTTGAAATTTCTACATATGTCATCATTTTCTACTCAGTAAGCCTCGACCAGGTGCCTCAATCCTGGGGCTGGGGAAAAAAACACAAGAATAAAGCGTATCCTCGGGGAGAGTCACAGATGAAGAGATAGGATAGCCATAGCATGGAAGATGATGAAGCTGAGGTATCAACACAAGGGGGAAGGATGCAGAGGGAGGATGCTGCTTTGCACTGAATTTTTTTTAAAGGGGTAGCTTCCATAAGATGAGTTGGGTAAGTCTGGTTATCTAAGGAAATAGGGACAGGCAGTGAGCAGGAGCAGGCAGTACACTCTGGGTAAATCTCGCTTGTTCCTCAGGCATTCTGGGAAGTTCAGCTGGAAAAAGAGATGGCAGATAGTGAGGGCCTGGTAAAGTTTTCCTGCAATAAATTTTGTTACAAGTCAAGGAATTCAGAACGTTCTTTGAAGGAGCTAGGGAAACCCTAACAGGTTTGAAAAAAAAAAAAAAGGTGAGGACGTGGTTACATTTTAGTTTGTTTTGGTTTCAAGGACTGTGACAACGTGGTTACATTTTAGTTTGTTTTGGTTTCAAGGACTCTGGGTAAGTCCAATAGAAATGGTGGGATTAAGATGACCACCTGTGAGAAATTTTTGGAGTGTTCTGTGCCAACTAAAAATGTAAGCATGCTCTATGATAGGACCTCTGCTCAACTCTCCAAGCCCCACAACTGTTTGTCTTCCTACAGTTGTCTATCCTGTTTCCTCAACACTGAAGAGCTGTATCCAAGCAAGTCAATGCCAGTTTTTCTAATTCATGAGCCCAGAGAAAGACAATTGTACCTTGTTCCAGTTCACACAGACAGCAGTGTTATCTAGGGCTGCCCTTGGGTTTGCAATTCTTTAAGTGAGAGGTAATAAGATTACAAATCAAATGAAGGAGACTAGTGAATGCAGAGATACTTACAGTGACTCTTCATGCACTGGATATTTTGAACATTCACAGGGAGTTACAAGGAAGCATTTGAGTGAGTCAAAGGTCAGCGAGAAGTGACAGAATCAAGCTGGATTCTTCAAATTCTCAGCTTGCCCTCTCTATTTTCAACCTGCTGTGGATCTGAGGTGTCCTGATTTAGCTGCCCCGATAGCTCTAAGTCTCATCATTAGCACTGACTTTTCTTTTACCCTTGATAAGGCAAACTCTGCAGAGCTGTCTGTCCCCAAAGTGTGGCTCCTGGGTTCATGTCTTCTTACTCTTTCTATTTCTACTACTTTTGACCCAAACCCATATTCCTTCTCAGCTGGACTCCTAAAATTAAATGTTGAACTCCTCCCTCTACTCTCGTTCTTGCTGACTCCCAAACCATGTGCTTCTTACACTCAGTAAGATCATAATTCCATGAAGAGTTAAAAGTCTTTGGGCTGGGAGATAACTCAGCAAATAAAGGGACTTGTTGCCAAGCCTGTTGACTTGACTTCAACACATTCGAGCATGCACGCATGCACGCACGCACACAGCAAACACATACCGAGATTTTAAAAGAGCTGAAATTCTCTACCTTCACATGTAGTCACTCTAAGTTTCCTCTCTAAACTTACCTCCTTCTTTTTCTGACTGTTTCTGATAATCTGCTTTGCCTCAGATACCTTTGTCTTTTATCTCTCCCCACCAAAGGCCTACACACTTTACCCAAGAAGGATGCCTAGTGAGGTAAGGTCTTGAAGGATGAGCTAAACAAAAACCTTAGAAGGGGCTGGAGAAAGAGCTCAGCAGTTAACAGCACTTCCTATTTTTCTAGAGGACTCAAGTTTAGCTCTCAGCACACTTTAGGTGGCTCACAGTGCTTGTAACTCCAGCTCCAAGGAATCCAGTGCCCTCTTCTGGTCTGTAAGGGTGCCT